CTGTTCGTATTTCGTCTATAAATTGTGTGTTACAATAGTGAGTTACAATGGCTATTTATAATGCTTATGGATCATATTTTTAGGAGTTTGAATCATAGTAAAACTCTATCCTATTTTTAGGAGTTTGAATCCTAGTAAAACTCTAACGTTATGTTCGTTTTCTAAATTCCACTAAATCGGGGTTGTTGAGAGTGTTGTACCCGGACGAAAAGGTGTGTTGACATTTACGTTACCATTTTATTAAGTTTTGATAACTTACGTTATCGTTTTATTAAGTTTTGATTACTTACATTATCGTTTTATTAAGTTTTGGTCACTGATTGAAGTGTAAGGATTTAAATAAAAATTAAACTATTTTACTAACAGAGCACGCCATTAAACTAACGATATTCAACGCACAAGTGACCAAAACTTAATAAAATGATATCATAAGTGATCAAAGTTTAATAAAACAATAACTTAAGTGACCAAAAGTGTACAAATATAAAAGTAAAGTGACCAAAACTTAATCCATGTATTATCTCCATGAAAATGATGTAATTTTATTTTTATGTATTTTTCATGCCATCCCAACAAACCATTAAAAGTTTAACAACCGATAATATTTATTAATCATATTTTAATTAAAACGAAACGAAAGTGGCCAAATTTTATGTTTTTTAATTCAGTGAGGAAAAAAATTATAAAACTCAAAAGAATGTGATCATTTATGTAATTTACCCTTTAAAATAATATATTTTCAAAAACAAATTCTACTTTCAACGTCGAAATGCGCGCGTGTGCACATACGTATGTGCGCGCGTGCATATAGATAGTCTTTAATATAATATCACTATCTTCTTCCACAGAGCTCATTCAATGAGTTTATATATATATTTACCATGCCTCAGTCAATGTTTCATTTTTATGTTTCTTAAAAAAAGGGGGGAGGGACGTCGGCGGGGGTGGGGCGTCGGCGGGGTACGTTGTATTATTTATTTGGGATTATCGTTGTTTACTTTATGCAAATTCGATGAACCATTCTTTGGCACAATTATTTGAGACCCAAATGTTGGGTATTTTAAGGGCAAATTGTCAAATATTACATGGAATTTAATAATATTTCTCTGATTAGTCAACAAAAATAATTTCAAAATCAAATTGAAATTAATATAATGGTCACATTTATACATATGAAAAAAATTATTAGTTTAAAAAATAATTATAAATTGTAAATAGTAATTTATAAAAAAAAGGGAGCCTTACCAAATATCTTTCATGATTTTTTAAGGAAAATAAATGTATAATCAATAAGATTTTAGCTAAATCACAAAGTTGATGTTTTCAGTTGTTCCCACTTTGGGGATTATTAATTTAAATTTCATTTTTGTTGAAATCTTATTATATATATTATTATTTAGATATATTATGATTATTAGCATAATAATATAATAATTATTCAAACATTGTTATATATTATTTATATGTATAATTATAACTTTTAAAAAAATCTAACTGTTAATGATCTTTTACTTTTTATAAATTTTTAATATGAAATTACATAATAACAATAAAATTATAAATATATATAAAAGAATTCCGTACAAATCAAATGGTTTTAATAGTTAAATGGATGAATGTAATTTTTAGAAGTATTGAATTCGAGCACTAACGATTTTAAAATATTTGAGTATTCATTATCAAATGATAAAAAAATCTATAAAACATATACTACTACTTGTAATCACCTTAAATTAATAAAAAATATCCACAACAATTAGAATACTTTTCCTATAGAAACAATACTTAATATTATAAGCGGAGAATGTTTAAAAATAAAATAAAATTTTCCTATAAAAAATATTGATATCACTAAATGGATAGATGGTGAATACAGAAGGAGATAAAATAGGAAGTGGTCCAATAATATGATTTGGAATGGGAAGTATTTATAAAGGAATGGCCTTAACACATTAGGTGATGTGACAGTTGAATATTTTGAGATGACCGTACATTTGGTCTCTGTTATTTTATATATTTTCTCAATTTAATCCTTTTAATAAATTAAATATACATTTTTATAAGTTTCGATCATAATAAAATATATATTTTAAATTTAAAATAATAAAAATATTTTTAAATTAATTTAATAATAAAATATATTTAATAAGTTAATATAAAAAATAGTTTTAAAGTTAATATGTATAAAATATTATGAATTTAAGTTAAATATTAATACACTAAGATACAAGATATATAAATCATGTTGTTTATTTTAGACCAAGCCATTAGTGACATATGACATCATTTGATTAGAATAATAAATTTAATTTAACATATTAAAAGTATGACTAAATTGAGAGAATATATAAATAACATAGACCAAATGTATGATTATATCAAAATATTTAACCGCCACAACACCTAATATGTTAACTGTTAACGACAGTTAACCTTTGGTGACTACATCTTAATTAAATAAAAACCAAAGTGACCCTATATTAATTAAATAAAAAAACAAAAATGACCATATATTATGAAATCAATAAGGAAAAATGAACTAAACAAAAGTGACCATATATTATGTATTTTGAAATCAATAACAAAAGTGATCAATCATATCGTTAATTCGAAAAGAAGATATACTAAAATGATATTTTTGACTTATAAATTTAATATGATTAATTATATTAATGATCAATTTCTTTTAAAATATTAAAAAACATGAATAAATACTAACTAATAAAAATAAAATCATACATAGATTTTTTTTATAAAAAAATATAACTAAACAGTTCAAAAAATAAAAGATATAAACAAATATCACTGTCGGTATTGAATGACACATCATCATCAACGATAATACAAAAGTGAACATAAAAGTGACGACACATTAACATTTCACAACTCATGTATAGTATGTGATATGTGTGAGTTTTTATCATTTTCACAAAATTAATCGAATGATCTAGATCAGAATAAATTAATAGAATAATCAAATAAATATCCATTAAATAAGATGTTAGATTTCACCGTCACATATATATATATATCATACTTTTTTTAAATAGAAATTAAATAAAATTTAAAATAATTATGACTATTTTTTATGAATAATGAAACTATATATTATTTTAGGGTGAACTAAGACGATGGGGAACTGAAATGGGGCTTGAGAATTGAAGGGTGGATAACAATGGTTCTGCACCTGTGGAGAAGGGTCTTTTCCATGTGAAGTTTGGGTGTGTTGAACACGAAGAGGCTGCTGAGTTTAGGTTGTTTTATTTTGGCAAAAGAATTTTTGTTAAAACTGAAGTCGATCACTCTGTCGATAATCGCATTGCGAGAAGTTCAGATCGGGAGTTGTTTTTGTAGCGAGAGCTTGCAACATTCTCAAGATCTCACTCTGGTCTTTCACGTAGTATTTTACTTTGCTACGTTTCTGGCCGACACTTTAAGCAAACACCTCGACAACTGAAGAGATATTCTGCATGCATGATCACCTAGAATGTGTTCCCGTTTCACTGGTCGTCTCCTATACAAAGAATCAGGAAGCTTTCTTTTTTGTTCCATTAGCGTGAGAGGATGATCGTCGATAAGATCTTGGTTCACACCTTACAAAACAATTATGCTTGATTGCAGGGCGGATGTACTAAGCACATTAGGACCAAGTGTATCCCATTATTTAGAAAGAAAAAAGATGAAATTTAGTTTAATATGTTAAAAAAATAAGAAAATAAATTTTTTTGCATACCCATTATTTTTTAAATAAAAAATATTATTAAAATTTTATATATTCATTCTTAAATTTCTAGATCCGCCACTACCAGATTGTAAGTTTGAAATTTTAATACAAGAAGACGTCGGTCAACAACATAGAAAGTCAAATAACTAATCTTGTGTGACAAAATATTACCAAGTCAATTAGGTTAACATGTTATATCAGCATTCCATCACACCCAAAATTATTGTTAACAACAAATGATAAATTTGTTATAAATCAAAAAAACTAATGACTAAATCAATAGTCTTATGATAGTAGTGGAGAAAAGAAATTTAATCAAACATTGGTGATTTTTTTTGTCCAAAGTTTTATTTATGTTTAAATTATAAATATTTTGAAATACCAAAAAAAGAAAAACAATTTGGTAAAATATTCGAAGAAATCGAGGGGGATCAGACCTTGGATCCGCCCTGATTTGGATACGAGTGCAAGAATCCAAGGTTTTTTGTTTTTGAATTAAAAAATGTAAATCCTCTATTTTATAACACACTTCAATTATTATTTATTCCGGCAAATAATTACTTCAATTATTGCTTATTAAGGTAAGGATCACAAGTATTCAATCCCATAGAGATCAATCTCTAAATAACAAGGAACTAATATTATGAAAACAGAGATTAAATGCAGAACATTTTAATTTCTTCTATGTAAAAGATCAAACATAAGAAAATGACGAAGTACGAACAATGTGTTTTATATTATATGTACACCCTTGAATCTCTATCTTCAAACTCGCCTCCTTGTTCTTATTGGTCATTGCTCTTTTTCCTTTTGGGGTGGCTTATTTGTTGTCTTATTCGCGTGGTTTTACTGAATATCTGAGATTTCATCTAATAAGAAAGAAGGAATATGCAGATAACGATGAAATATCATCTTCTTTGAAAGATACTGCTCTTAAGCCTGTTAAAAAAACGTTTACTGCAAAGTTCGTCAATATTCATAGCTTTTGTATTCAATGATTTGATGCGGTGTTTTGGCATTTTTCAATCTCGATGAACCAACACCCTTCATGAGGCTTGTCTTGGATGCAAACAAATCTTTGTACCCAAGAAAATGGATAGATTTCCCAAAAGAATTAATTAACCCCAAAAGAAGATAAAATGAAGAAGATATATGTTTAATTTAGTTCCAAGGAACGGTAAAAAAGATCAGCTTTCAAACAAATTCTTTCATTTTCTCCATGACCCTTTCAGACATCCTTGCCAGCAAACCAAAAAAAATCAATATTTTTTCCTCGAAGTTTAGCTCTTTGTGGCACTGTGTAAAGCTGAACTAAAAGGGTAAGACTCTCTTTGAATTTGCTGTTTTGTGTTCAAAGTGGTGATTAAGAGAGTTGATGAAGAAAGGGTCTGTTTCTTTGAGCCATCTGGGTACCTTTCCAAGCCCACGAGCTTCGGATTACCGTGATAATGGCGCGGTGGTGAGTCAAAAAGGGTGGAGTTCCGAGCGAGTGCCGCGTTCTTCAGCTAACAGCAATGGCGGTAACAGAAGACACATCAGTGCTTCTTCTTTGACGCCTTTTTACAGTGGGAGAACTTTGCCTTCCAAATGGGAAGACGCCGAGAGGTGGATTTGTAGCCCCATTTTGGGTTATGGTGTTAGCAAGAACGTAAACTATCAGTATCAGAGGAGGCCAAAGTCTAAAAGTGGGCCTATCTTGCCTCCGGGGATTGCTTTCTACTCCAATTGCTCGCCGTCCATGAACTTACATGATGGTGGTGGAAGTGGGAGTGTGAAGAATTTGATAGCGGGGTCTCCATTTTCTACTGGGGTTTTGATGGCTGATGGGGTTTCCGTTCATTATGTTGGTTATAGAGCTGCCGTCTCCGCTGCAGCTGGCGGAGACAGTGACGGTGAGCAACCTTGTATAGCGCATAGTGATAATAACGTGGCACGGTCCACTATTATACCTGGATGGTCAGATTTGGTTAGTGAGTCTTCATTGCCAAGCTCTCAAGGTAATTACTGTTCTCTGTTGAGTATCATTGGTTGAAATTTCTACTTAGGCTGCTAATGTTTCAGAGAATTTCATCTGCTGATCTGATTATGAAAGCTAAAGAACATGAAGGACGTATCTAATCTGCAAATTTTAAGATTGAACATCTAGCTGCAAATAAGATATTCTAACAATCAATCACAGTACTGTTAAACGTGTAATCTGTAATGATAAAAAGACAGTAAATCATAAGGGTTGGTTTTTATGTCATATCTGTTCATATTGGCTTCAAATTTCTGTTGTTGGATCAAATTGTTGCAGATGAGAAAATTGATGAAATCAAGGATGCCAAAATGATGATCAATCGTGTAGTTTCACGGAGAGATATGGCGACGCAAATGAGTCCGGATGAGAGTAGCAACCACTCATCTCCGAGAGAGAGGTCTTCCTTTGGCCACTCACCTCCTCCTATCCTTCCTCTTCCTGCTGTGGACAACAATGATCACCCTTCTAAACTGGATATCAGGGAAGTGCAGATAGACAAGCGAGCCACCGTTACTAACTGGTCAAGACGCGGATTGAGAAGAATCAAGAAAGGCAAGCCAGATTTCGATGACTTCTACCGAAACAGCGCACCAGCTTCTGTTTTATCCCTGGACATCTCAGAGGCTTCGACAAGCATTTCAAAGTATGTTTTTATTGCATTCTTCCTTAATTTCTGTCCTGCATCATCCGATAAGAGCAGGGAAAATTCCAAAATAAACACAACTAATGCATGATATGAATCTTGAAATCCAACACCAGGAGAGCATTACTATTAATATCCAAAAGTAACTTGGGGAGTATCTGTGTGAAATAGAAGTGTCACATACAAAAAGGATCCTTTTAAAAAAAAAAAAAGAAGTTAACTTGATTTTGCAGGTTGCAAAGAGAGGAAGCAAAGATCAGCGCATGGGAGAACCTGCAGAGAGCAAAAGCCGAGGCAGCCATACGAAAATTAGAGGTTCAGATGCACACGACTCTGTTTTTGTGCCTATTTTTTTCCTACATGTGCAATTGTTTAAACCTTGTTTAATTATTTTCCCTGCATTTTTCTGTATTTTACCGTCAGATGAAATTAGAAAAGAAGAGATCAGCATCACTGGATAAGATCTTGAGAAAGCTGAGAACGTCTCAGATTAAAGCTCAAGAGATGAGAAATTCAATATCAAACAAAGAGGACGAACAGATTCCAAGGGCTTCAGCAAAGTTTACATTCTTCCATATCCCCATGCGTTATTTCAGCACTTGTTTCACCTGCCATGGTTTCTAGTTTCTATATTTTTGTAAATCTTATATGATCTCCATGGCCTCAAATCTTTTCCAGCAATGAAGCATGTGTTTCCAGATTTTATTTTTGTTTGTTAAAATGCCTGCTGGTTTCTCGGCTTCTCTGCCCTTTAATGCAAAGTATCTTAGAATTCTATATTCAATGATCCAGGATACTGCTGAGACTTCAAGCTCTTGTTCTTGGTGTATGTGATAAAAAAATCTTTTAAGGAAAAAACATCTTTTATGGTCTTCAATGACCACTAACCAGAGTAGGTTGGTTTGCATTACTGTTTTACAAGGAGACGAGCTTGATATATCAACAATCAAGTATTTGCATATATGCTCAGCAATCGATACTTAAAATCCAAAGTTTGTTAAAGACAGGGTACCATGATTTTTAACATTAATTAGATAATTAAATTTGAATATTTGCTACACCATGAAAAGCATATAGCTCACATGACATGTTCTTATAATCAGAATTACTGACGATGATATCAGGGTAATAATCGAGATAGTTCAACAGTTGACATCCGAGAAAAAACTTCAAAGCTATTCCATGGCTGCTTAGTATGGCCGGTACCGCCAATCTGCTCTTGATGGCCTTGTACTCCCAAAGGCATAACCCCACTGCTAAATAGAAATACATAATCAATTGAACAAATGACTAAAGGAACTTTGTTTTCCATACCTAAAAGGTAAAAGGAACTCTGTTTCTGTCTAAAAATGATATTCCTTATAAGAAATGGGTTAAATTTCAAATTTTGCCCACCTTTGTTTGAAAATGAACCGAAGTCACAAGTTAATTGTTTAAGTTGTTTCCGGTATGCGTGTGTGTTTATGTAAAGTATTTATACTCACATCGTCAAAATGCATGCCTCCATACATCCTACCAAAGGGGAGCATTGGAGCACCAAAACCTCTAAATGGTCCAACAGGATTCATCATGAAACTAGGGCCAACATCATCGACAGGCGTTGCTGAATCTATTGCCACCTGAAAAGCAAGTTCAGACGTAAAATGATAAGAGCTTAAACCAACATGCGTTATGCCATTTTGATTGAATCACATAGAATAAAAGGTAGAAAGAACAACTGGAGCATAACTGTAGATGGTCAGGCCCGCCTGCCTAAAAACATATAATTTACCTACAATTCTTAGAAAAATTGTAAACCAGATAGGACTTGTTAACTTGATTTAACTATCTTGTAGTCGTTGCTAGAGGATTTCAAAAGAAAAATCTTCAAGTGAAACTGCTCTTTCTCTAGTTGCAGAGTTTTTTCCCCCTTCTTTTTTTAAATGCATTGCAGATCATCCCATAAACGGTCAAAACCACATTTTGGCCATTAAGATAACATATATAACATGTATAGTCCATAATAACCTAAGAGCATAATGGTATTAAAAATCAATTCCCAGCTGTAAAAATAATAATTGCAGTTTTCTAATTAATTCATGGCGGTAAAAAATAATTCTCCCCTAAAATATTTCAGAGCATAGTCTCAGAACTAGTGTTAATTTCCATAACCGGAAAAATAAATATTATGCGGCAGGATAAATTTAACAAATCACCAAAGTACTTGGCCAGTATAACCTCCAATCATGCATAAACTCTAACAAGTACGAATAAGAAAGTAAGGGCATCATGAACCAGATCTCAGAAGTGAGGTGGCAATAAAACACGAGGAAAGAAAATAAAAGCTTGTTTACATGTACCTGTTGTCCACAAATCTCATGAGACCTACGAGATACTCTGTCTGCAACCCCTTCGTCGGCAAAAGTTACAAAACCAAAACCTCTGTGACCAGATCTTTTGGGGTCCTACATTATAAGAGAATTCAACCCTTCATCAGATGGGTCATCTCGATTTTTTACATGACATTTTAGCACTTTTACCTTGGGAATATAAACATCTACTATCCGACCAAATCTACCAAAATACTGGCGCAGATCATCAATAGTAGCCTCCTGGGGGAGCCTGCCAACAAATATCTTTTTTCCCATCCCTCGACTGGACTCCCCTCCTAGTTCAACATAAAGGGGGAAACCACAACATAAGTAAAATGTAATTCTGCAAATCGAAGTCACTGGTAGGAAAGGAACTTACTTCCATACTTTGGGCCAGGATGGTCATACAAGGTAGGAGCACCAACTGCAGCATATCTAGTCGCAGCAGAAATGTAGGCATCATATGCACCATATCCCCCCTGTGACATTCGGACCGTAGGCTTGAAATCATCTTCCTGCCAACATAATATTAAAATAGTGAATAAATCCCACATATATCGAGTATAAATGTGAAATTTCCAGGCGAATAGAATATAGAAACCAAATTGCACTTTGTCCTGTACTAAAGGTCCACTTGGAACTTTTGGGTGGTAAGACAGGTAAAATGTTAAAAACAAAAAAGCACAGGCTCGTGACTTGCCTTGGGTGTTGCTCGATCAACTATTACAGTAGCACCTCCTAGTTCATGAGTATCAGCCATCAGATTCTCCACAGAACCTGTACATGTAAAACAAGTATCTAACTTTCGGACATAACAAGAGAGGAGGAAAAGAATATATACCTAACTTCGAACAAGTAATAGGTGATCATTAACTGCATTTTCAATTGGAAAAACACACAAGAATATAACTTGTATCCTATAAAAAAAAGAATATAGCTTGTAGGACTTTAATCTTGAAGATACCAAATAAAATATCCCAAAGGTCAAACGCAAACATGAAAACCATTTGATGCAGAGAATTAACTTAAGGTGCTAAGCCAGACACAAGAAAAACTGACCTGCACTAGCAAAGGTGATAAAGCCAATTCCACGGTGTGCTTTTGAGACTTGATCCTGTGAAACACATGCTTAATAATATAATCTAAAAAAGTTCCAACAAGAAATTGACTACATCTGCATGCAGCCATAAGCATAACATAGACACATGAACAAATACAGATTACAGAAAGAGAGAGAGAGTACCTTTGGCATGTACAAATCTGTTATCTCACCATACTCCTCGAAATGACTGTGAACAAGAATATAATGATTGTTATGTTAATTCTTCACATAGCTGACAAAACAAGACATTTTCTTTACCCATTGAACGTGATTAGACAGCTCAAACAAAGAAAGCCATTGTTTTGTTGAGTAGAGTTGACAAATCATGTTCAGAGAATAAAGAGAAAAAAGTAAAAAAGACAGCAGTACCATGATGATCATATACTGCACTTAATTACCTCCGAAAGGTTGATTCATCCACAGAGGGAGGAATTCTGGCCACAAATATCCGGGTTACTTTCTTTACAGGTGCTCTCATCTCCTCCTGTCAATATGACAAAAATGATGCTATTGATAAAAAAACTAGTTAACCCAAAATAATTTTCAAATAAAAAGGCATCTACTGAAGCTTATGTTAAACCTTTGGCGTAGCTATTTTAACTTCCAGCATTCTCTCCCCAAGAAAATGCTCTCTGGATAGCACACGCTGTGCAAAATAAACACAAGCATTATTTTTTATCACATGGTTTAAGGTTAAGGGAAAGAAAAAAACGTGGGAGATAGGGGCAATGAATTACCCTAGCATCATCAGCAGATGCAAATGTCACATAACCAAAACCACGAGATCGGCCAGTAGATCGCTCCTAAACAATGAAACAAGAACATTGATACCAATGAACAACATGTAATTGCACATTATTCAACACGTCCTCATAATAACTAAGGTAGAATAATTAAAATCAGAGGGAAATGACATCCCATGCTAGTGATTGACATTACATTTTTTTCTACATGTAAAGCAATTTTAAGTTTTCACCATCCTCCAGTAAAATACAATCATTGAATATATTGATAAAAGAAATGAGAAAATAAAAAAAGGGGAAAACCTTCATGACAATACAATCTTCCAGATCACCATATTTACTCATATATTCCCTCAAACCTTCAGTATCCACCTCCCAGGGGATTCCCAAAACCTAGAAAAAGAAAATTACTCAAATTCAACAATTTTTTTTTATTAAAAAAACCCAGTAACAAAAACCTAATCTTTCAAAAAATTAAGAACGGTAAACTTACCACAAGCTTCCGTTCCATGGGGAAAAGGAAGAACTTGAGCTGAGAAATGAAAATTGTTGAAATCTTTAACACACTCAAAACCAAAGCTCCCTCACAAAGATCCTCTCTTAATATATCTCTCTCACAAACTGTCTCTTCCTCTTTCTCTTCCTGCAAATAATAAGCACGCGCTCTTTCTCACACACAATCATCGCCAAATACGAAATCAAATTGACCATCTTTATATATAAATATATATTTAAAAGAAGCAAATTTTAAATTGAAAAAAAAATAGCTGATCAATTGTAGTAGTAATCGACTAGAATTATAGAATGGTTCTGGTTTTCATCTTCCCTTGTTGGCGCTCACTGACCTGACCAATCCAACCAAAAACCCTAAAATTTGCAGAAGAAGATCTCTCTCCCTCCCTCTCGTCTCGCTCCGCTCGTTCCCTCCCTCGCCCGCTCCTGCCGCTTCGTTGGTCGTGGAGAGGCCCTGTTGGGTTGCTTTTGTAGCCGACTTGGGCTAAATTTGGTTGGTTATGACAACCATGAGCGGGCTTTGAATCCATTCATCCTCAAGAAAAGGCCCAGCCTCAAGGAAATCGGATGGCGAGTTATTCACGTGCTCTGTGTCTATCAATTGGACTGGTCATGTGTGCATCGAGCTGGGTAAATTTGAGTAGATGACTTTAGGTTTTAAAATTTGTGAATTTTGATCAATTTTAAATCCAGGTTCTTTCCTTTTAAATTATTTTGAGAATTTTTATATTCTGAATCTGAGTTTATAGTTTCAATTTTTTGATCCATTTATAATAAAATTAAATTATTTTCATATCTCTAAATTTTTAAATTAAATTCGATATGTTTAAATTAACAATAAAATAAAAAAAATCTTAAAAATAAAATTTAAACTATTTATATAGATTATTAAAATTTAACAACATTAAATAGAATATTTACTCTAATACCATGAGACCGCAAAAGAGAAAAAAGATCAAAGAAAAAACACTATACCAATAACTACCTAACTATAGGCCTTTTCATTTGACTTACATAATAAATAAGTATCTAAATTATATTTTTTTATTTAAATACCTAAAGTATTTTTTGTCAAAATAAATACATAAAAGTTATCTTTTGGATCAAAATACGTATCTGA